TGAAACAAAGTAAAATCATTTGAACAAAACTTTTATTCAACTAAAAAGTGGATAAAAAGCGAGATAAATATATGAAAACAAAGTTTTGACAGCAATGCGCAGCAAATGTGTTAAAAATCGAATCAAAAACAAGTAAGAAAGCTCTAGTCGAGACTACTCGACTACGAGATCCCCTGAACCCTTTGAGTAATAGCTATTTCAATAATTTTTCGCGTCTTTCAGCTTACACAAGAAACACGCACACACACACACACACACGCACGCACGCACACACAGGCATACATACACACACATACATACACACACATACACAAACAATTACATACATATACACACACATGCATAAACACGCATGGGCGGCAGTGAGCGCTTACTATGAGAACTTAATTGCTTAATAATTTTTTTGTGGACGTACGATCTTCATGAAACTTTCAGATTATGATTATGACATGGATATGCATGTAATTGCCAAAGCACAAGTCTCTAGTATTTGAAATACGCTTTTTACAAAAGTGAGGGTGAGGGGGTGAATTTAAGGGTGGGGGATAAATTTTAACAAAAACCGAAATTGTATAAATTGCATATAGGCATACATTACAAATTTGGAGACTCTAGCAATAAAGGTGTAGAAGATATAATTTTATAACTGGTTTTCGATAAGGTTTTTTATCGATAAAAAAAGATCGGGATAAGTTTTCGATTTTTAATGATAAACTTGATATGCGCGCTGTAATTACGAACATTTTAAAAAAAATTTGAAGTCTCTAGCTCTTATATCTTCTGAAATCGACGCGTTCATACATACGGACAGACGGACAGACGGACAGACGGACGGACGGACAGACGGACAGACAGACGGACAGGGCCAAATCAACTCAGCTCGTCGCCCTGATCAAGAATATATATACTTTGTGGGGTCTGCCACGCCTCCTTCTGCCTGTTACATACATTTCAACAAAACCATTATACCCTGATTTCCCATTGAAAATGGGTTCAGGGTATAACTAGAGTGAAAAACGCCAAAAAGCTTTTCAGAGCGATTTACCAGACTCCCGTAACTTCTGTGATTATGGCAAGAAGACGTGGCAAAATTATAATAAGCCGTGAAATAAAATGCAAATTTCGCACATCACAATTGGGCGACAACAATTGCAACACATGCAGCAACAGCAGCAGCAGCAGGCAGCAGAAGAGGAAGAGGAGAAGCGGGGGAGCAGAGCAAAGTTTGGGGGGAAAGTTAGCAACAAATAGAACATGAAAATTGTGAAACAAACTTTTGCTCAACGCCTGCAGGATGCGAGCGACTAGTTAACAATTTGGCCAACTGGCGGACGATTGCCTTTTTGCTATGAATTCTTATTTTATTTTTTTTTTGCTTATTTATTAACAATTAAAAATGCAAATTATGTTTGCCAAAGTCACAGACGAATAAATTTTACGATTGCAAACTTTAACTAGATTTAAATTTTGCAAATATTTTAGCAAACAAAAGAGTTGCAGATAATAATAAATCACATTTAATAATTGAATACAAGAAAACAAGCAGAGAGACGGCTTCTGAACCCTTTGAGGGACTGATAGTTCAATACTAAGAAAAACAGCACACACATACACACAGACACACACACTCAAACACACACACACACACACACACACACATACACAGACAACACACACATACATACACAGACAACACACACATACATACACACACACATACACACACACACACACACACACACACACACACACACACACACACACACACACACACACAACCCACACATACACACACACACACACACACAGACGCATGAGGCATATGCCTGTATATCTATCCCTCTCTCTGTCTGCCTGTCTACCTCTCTGTCTCTCTGAAGAACTACAGAAGATCACTCAAGAATACTTGAGAGAGTACTCCCATTGGTCACTCAGAGATCGTCTGCAACGACCTGTCGTCGGGCTTAACATTTGAGCACGATTCAGTCGTAAAGTGAAAGAGAGGACTCAGTCGCCCTATATAAAGGGCAGCAGCTGCAGCATTTCTTCAGTCGCCCAGGCCTAGCTAAGCATTAAAGACTTAGAGGAAATACCTCGAGGTAAGACTCTACTAGAAAGACTTGTACAGAGGAAATACTTATAGGGAATACATAGAGGAAATATTTTACTATAAAGACTTAGAGGCATGTCATAGAGGAAATGTTTGGAGGAAACACTTAGAGGAAAGACAGAAGAATAGCTTAGAAGAAATGCTGATTTCCCATTTGCAATGGGAAAAGAATATACAAAATATTATGACCATTTAAATCCTCAATAAATTCTGGTATTGCCGTGACATTTATCGTTATTCATATATAATATTCATATATAAGTTATTTTTAAATTCCATCCCACATATTTTCAGGCAGATTATAAATAAGGTTGCCGATGCACAGACAGAGTATAATATAATGCGCTTATGATAATATATGTACATATAGATTATAAGGATGTCAAAAAGGTATATATATTTCTAGACATATATATATGTATGTATGTATGTATATCTAAAATCTTTGCTCTGCTTCGCTTACAGAATTAACATCCTTTCAGGCTATGCAAATCGTATTAAAACACTGAGCTGAAGACGCTGTAGCACGTTATTGTCTCTCCGTTGCTTTGGCTTTGGCTTTGGCGTGTTTCAGTGTTAATTAGTGTCGACACGTCGCGTCGCCCTCACTCACACTCCAGGCCCTTAGAATAATGCACATTATATAGCGTTGATATTATTATATGTTAGTTTGTGTAATGCGCTTAAATGCAGAGCAGAGCAGAGCAGAGCAGGCCACAGCAGGCCTTTGCACACGAAGCTGGTAGCTGCTGTACCGTTAGCTATAAGACCGGTTGATAAATATCCTCCGCTCCGAGCATTATAAATTCATGTGGCACAAAGCGTTTGCTGCATTTATTTTGCATGTCACAAATGCCAAAAAAAAAAAAAAATGAAAGCAAAAAACAAAAGCCCAAACGGCTCGCAAAGGCGAGAGGCGACAGCAGAATGCCGACGCGCCACGCCCCCACCTCACGCCCATTGGTAAACGCCACAGAAAGCACTTGCCACGCCCCTTTTGTATGCTGCTGCTAGTGCTGCTTTTGTTGTTGTTGTTGTTGTTTTTGCATTGTGTTTACTAAAATAAACAAACAAAAGGGAAGCTAAAGCTGTAGCTGAAGCCGAACGAACGGCCAGTGGAGCCCAGCACGTAGTCCGTATGCACAGGGCGTATGCGTGTTGTGGCAGCTGGAACATGCAACGTGCCAGCAACAACGAGGACAACATTGCAGACCAAAACGCCCAGAATGTAGGTTAGATTGCAGCCGGTTTAGCCGAGGCGCTCTCTCATTCATAATGAGCCGCACTTGATGCGAGCCACATTTGAGCCAGGGGCCAAAGCATAAATTAATTGGTTACTTCACATACACACGCACACACAAATACCAATGCCCACATACACGCACACACACGCACACACACACACACACACACACACTTCACACTGACACACTAGCACAAAGCAAATGAGAACAGGGACAAGGTGGCAAATAGTGCCATAAAGCAAGATATTTAAAGCGCCTACTGAGATAGGAATGCAAATAGAGGAACAGAGTTTGCTCCAGTTTCTGAGAGAGTTCGCTTTCTAAAGAAATGGAATTTAATGCATAGAGATGCAAATATTGGAATAATGCGATATTTGTATAGAAGCAGAGGCAAGTTCCTAATTGGGCTTCAATTTGAAATATATATATACGATATATTCCAATGCGATATTTGTATAGAAGCAGAGGCAAGTTCCTAATTGGGCTTCAATTTGAAATATATATATACGATATATTCCATTGAAAATGCAATGTGATTTAGTAATATATATATATATATAGTTATACATAAAAGTGAAGTGTTGGTATATAATAATAATAGCCCTACTCAAATGATATTCATCTACAATAAATATTTATATATTTAATACTTCGAATTGGCTTTTTGGAAATTACAAAGTTCAAGTTCATCTTCTATCATTTTTTTGTTTTTATGAGCAGAAAAAAATAGCACGCTACAATTAATTAGATAGGTCGAACATCACTCATCATCAAATTGACTCAACTGCGCTGTTTCTAGCTGCTGCGATAAGAAAATATTGCAAACGAACTATGAAAATTCCCATTGACAACAAACGCCAAAGTGGAAATATGAATTCCAATTTCACAACACCTACACAGTAATACATATTTACATGTAATACATATATATATATTTTATATATGTCTTATCAATACACACTGATATGCATATATGTAAAGCATATATAATCTTTGATTTTACAACAAATTTGTTTAACAATAAATTAAGAAAAATCCCATTAGTTACCTTTAATTGTTTACATTAACGAATATGTAATGCGCTTTTATAAAATTATATATTTAAAGCAATTCAAATTAAATATAATTGAATAAATCAATTTAGAATTGCTGTAATCTCAACATTTTATATTCTTGTACATAAGACATATACAAATAAAAGAAATATAAGGAAATCGCTCAACCGATCGACACCCAAACAAAAGTAAAAGAACCTGAGCTTCTGCTCAGAGCATGAGAGATCAAATCCACAGAAATTTAATAGTTATTTGCGAACTATTTAAAAAATTAATAAAAATATAGTAATTTAAGTTTTGACATGTATAAGATAATATACGCTTGATAAGTTATCCTATTATATTTTATCTAACAATATTTTTTATATACCCATTAAAAAAAATATTGATTTAAGCCGATTCATATGTGAACTTATATTTATACAAAAAAAAATAATTTAATAAATTTAAATTTAAATTTTTTGAGCACCTGCTATATTATTTATTTCCTTAATTACCATAATTCAGTACTTCAACTACATAAAGCTAGCCATAGTGAGTGTATATAAAACTGTGTCCAAGGGTCCCCGACAGACGCCAAAGCGATAAGCTATTCGTATATATAAGGTACATACATACATTCATAAATATATACCACACAAGTATATACTAAATACTATGTTATGTAGATTACAAATAAATGCGCTGTAAAGACTATGCATATAAAATTCGAATCGTTCGCAGCTCGAGCTGCAGTTGAAGTTAATCGGGAAACTTAAGCAGAATGAAGATTAAAGTCGCATTATTTTTAATAATCGCCTCAATTGCACTGGCCAGCGGTAAGTCCTATAGACATTATGATGGTACATAAATGGGAAAACTAATATGCGCTCTTTTAATAGGTTTTCGAATGCCCGACTGTCCGCATTGGAGTAAATGTTAGAAGGATTACAAAGCTGGACGAATTATTTACTAGATGTAAAATTCGAAAATTCGAAAATTCTCTATTTATTTATCACAAAATATGTGTGTGTGTGCGTGTCGAGTTGTATATTTAGTGTCTAGAAATGTCAACAGGATCGGAACTCCCTACATAGAGTAAATAAACAGTTTATTAATCGAAATGGAAATGAATGCAGCCAAATGAGTCATTTAAATCGTTTTCCATTAGGCTTATGTGCTTAATTAAGCGTTAAGGCTATTAGAGCGAAACTTTTGAGGACCAAATAACAAATTTTCCACGCTGAATGCCCAATAAAATAAAGCTTAATGCAAAATAAATAAATATCTGTGCTATGTTACCACTAATTGAACGCACGCATATGCACATATATATGTATATATGTATGTATGTATATCTACTGCGTAATCCTCTAACAGTGCTTTTCGCATGATTCGAACACGCAATGCAAAAATACAAATAATCTGCATTGGGGCTGACAGGCTTATCAAAAGATTTTCTACCCCCCACACATTTTCGCAGAGTTTGGCTATAAGTCGTACGAGCATGCATAGAGAAATTGATTATCCTATAATTGGGAAATGGCAAAGGAATTGCTAAATAATTGCTCTTAAGCGCATTGCAATAGAAGAAACCTATGCATAAGATTAATTTTTCTTTAAGGCTTGTGCTTTTTTTTACTCAAATATATTTGCAAAATGTTAACATCTAGAAAAACCTCATCGTACCTCTAAAATTATTTAAGCATAAATAATTAATATGCTCGCAATATACATATAGACTCTCCACAATTTAAATTTCTCATCTATAAGTCTCATTTCTCTGCAGGAAATAACCCAAATCTATTCCAAGCCCAGGTTAAGCTTTATCTGCATAGTGACGCCCCCGTCCGCTAGATAGCGCCACAAAACACACACACGTGCCACAATTTTCCGGCGTTTTCCCATTATGGGGTAGGTTGAACTGAATTTTAAAATGCAGTGTATACTCACATCTGCTATGATTGACATGGGCTTGACGCATTATTGATTGAGCTGTATAAATGTGTGTGTGTGTGGGGAGTTGCGCTAGAAGTATATTCATAGGCTGACATTAAGGTAAATAGACACATACATATTAAGTTAATGGCCAGGTGTGAATGCCGTGTCATTAAGTACGCACAAATGCCGTCCATAACTTATGTATATAGCTAAGACTTGGGTAAATGAATAATAGATAGCTACGCCTATTGATTTTCAGATTACACTCTAAGAAAACAAAAGCTAAATAGGCCGAGCTATCTCTTGAATATTTGATAAAATTTTAACTAACTAGATTTAGGTTTACTAAGCCCAAGTTTAAATTATTCTACATTTAGTTAGTTACTTAATAACAATTAATCAATTGAGCTTACATACAATTCTCTCAGTGTATGCAACCTGCTTTAAAGATAAGCGGCGTGAAAGCCAACTTATATAAACCTCAGCGCATGGCCAACCAACCAAGCAGCCCACCAGCTCACCAGCCCAGCCACCCAAAATGTCCACGCACACGTAAAAACCGTGGACCTCACGAAAACATTTTAAGTAGATGTCATTACGCTTTTGCCTCGCCGTCAAACGACTTGGGGAACAACATAAATCCATTAACATCAGCGCATTAAACGTGATTTCCCTTCGAATTGCTAAAGTCTGGCAACGCTTTACCTTTGTTTGACTAACTATTTAAACAATAGCAACGACTTCTGAACTCTTGGTTCAGGTGCGCTAACTTTACCTTTTACAAAGGCTTGAATATTTGTTTCTTTGTTGTCTTATCGATTTTCTTGCCGTGTAACATTGTCGATTTTTCGTATTTTTCTTTAGATTTCCTATTGTGATTTGTAAAAGCAATTGGCTTTTGTGTACATTTCATTGTAGCAAAAGAGGATATTTTAATGGACAAGCTTGTGCAAAATTTAATTATTATTCTAGATAAACTGCGTCTTTTGTGTCCCTTGACAATTTACTTTGTGCCTAATTTGATCACTGCAGTGCACTGATCATTAGCTATCGATAATTGTTGTGGACTTACCTCGATAACACTATCACTGCCGAGTCCGCAGATCTTGTTCTTGTTGTTGTACAACCGCTGCTCCACTTGCTGCTGCTTGCGCTGTTTGCGCTGCTTACGTGTGGCCAGACGCAGTCCGCCACCGCTGCCGTCGCCGCCGCCGCCGCCACCCAATACCTGCGCTGCAATAACAATTTCGTCGTCTTCGTCGTCGTCGTCAGCGCCGGCGTCGACGTCGTCGTCGTTTAGTACTAAACCAGCAGGTGGCGTGCCACTCAAATTAAACTCATCGACATCGATATCGGCCGCTGTGTCCGGCAGCAAATCTAAATCACTTTGAAAGCTCAGATCCAAATCTTGGGGCAATTTTGCATACTTTTGATTATTTTTCATTGTTGCTGTTTATTTGTATGGGCTGCGTTGCATGAGTCATGCCATGTGCAGTTAATGTCCTACGAGAAAGGACACTGTTATCGGGTTATCGTCTTGATTTGTTATTGTTGCAGTTCGCGCGTTGCTTTCGTTGCTATTTTACAAACACACACACTCCCACATTCACACGTACATGCAAACACATTCAAACATACACATACATATATGCCAATATAAACATGAACCAAAACAAAAATGAGCACAATCGATTTTTCCGTCTTGTCGCTGCGTTCTCTTTGTTTTTGCCCCACTACGAGCAATAACAACAACTACAACAACAGGTTCTTGTTTTAGCTGCACTCCAATGCAACAAATTGGTCGCAAGTCGTTGACTACACAACACAATCGTCCTGCTCTGCTTGTTGGAGAAACCTTGGCGGCGCCCTTTCACCTCTCTCTTCCTACGTAATTAACACAAACAAACAAACGCGCACACACGCACGCAATTACTCATCAAATTGCAATTGCACTTTACAATGTCAAACACGCTCTCACTCACACATACAGTCACACGTTACATACACACAATCAAGCAGTCAAGCAACTTCGCGATTGAAATTCAATTTGATGCACTTTAGTACTCGGTTCAGTTTCCAATTAGATTGTTGTATGCGCTTTTCCGACTTCAATTTTCATTTACTTTTCACCGTCAAGACGTCTGCACGCCACAAAATCGCGTCGCGTATAAAGCACAGCGCCAATGCCGATGCCGATGCCGCTATTCCCTTATGACTGTCACTGTGTGCGAATGCGTTTGTGTGCGTGCATATATGATGTAGGGGCTGTATTTGGGGTAAAAAGTTATCGAGTCAAATTTTATCACATCTGGCAGCGCTGTTTATCGTACTTGGTATGCACAGCAGGCAGCTTTTGTCATGTAGCATGCCAAAAATGCACCGTAACGCCATTTCGAATTCAAAAGCAAATAAGCTGGCTGAATATATATGAATATTAATAAATTAAAACACATTTTAGACGTTCTATTATGAGAATGGTTTTTGATCAGTTGATTTATTCAAAGCATTTTTTTTATCGAATATGTTGGATTTTGTTTTGTCGATTTAGTCCCTTTATAGTTAATATCGTAGAGATATCCATACATATACCATAATATATATAATTGTTTTTGTATTTTTGTTTTCTTTTGAATCATATAAGTTTGTATACTTATATATTGTATTTGCAGTTTCCTTGAATAAAAATTAAATCTTAAAAAGGATAAGCATCATTGTAGCTACCACAAGGTGTACTTTTTGTTTTTGTTGTTGCTGTTTCCCTTATACGTAGATAGAAAACATTTGTTTGTTTGTTTTGTGTGAATTATGCTGCATGGCTAATAATTGTTCATAAATGTTGAAGCTTCAAAGACAAAAGCGTCGTCGAATGAATCGAATATTTAAAACTGATTTAATTTAGCTATAAAATTGTGTAAATATATAAATATAAATACTGTTCACTTACAAAATAACACGCATACACGCAAGTTTGTCAAATGTGGTCAAACTAAATTATCGACATAGTATATATATGTATATATATATATAATATGACATAAATATGATTTGTTTTCCCTTCCAATATTACATGAATTGAAATTAAATATAGAATATAAATAAGTTGCGGCAATTAAATGCTTTAAGTACATACATTCATTTCGCTTCGCTTCGCTTTGTCTGCTTAATTTTTTATGTTTGCTTAGTTCAATTAATTAATAATTAATTACTGGCAACATTCTGGAGATGCTTCGCGTTTCATAAAATATATTTCGTTTTCTTTTTTTTTTTTTTTTTTTGTTATGGCCCATGCGCCACTTCTTTGAGTTGGAAAATGGAAATGAAATCAGTTTGGGTGAGAGAAATGTTAAAGTTAGGTCGTTTCCAAAGTCAGTTAATTGCAGAATATAGATTTAGGGATGTTTAGATTGTTGCTTCGTTATAGTGTTATGGCAACTGACTTTAAAAGTCATTGGCCAGCTTAAAAAGGGGCAGCGGCGCATGCGTCTTGTCTGAACTAATTGCTGAGCTTAGCCTAAACAATTCTCAACTTTCTCGTCTTAAAATTTATAATCGACTTATGTAAAAAAGTAAGTTTACAAAAAAAAAAGTAAAACATGGCAAGCGCTTAAGCGTAACTTAAATTAAGTCTGTGTAAAGTCTAAATAGCTAAGATTCAACTATTGCTGATGTTGGTGTTGCTGTTGCTGTTGTTGTTCCTGCAATTGTTGCATCAATTGCTGCTTCGTTTCGGCTTTCACAGTTTTGTAGCGATCCTTCTCCTCAGTATTCTCGGGCGGCTCACACTCAAACGATGCAATCGCGAGCGTATTCTCATTGAGCACCGCATTATGCTGCAGGTAGGCAATTACATTCGGCAATTTCTCAAATGGACAAATGACTTTCTTCCATTCATTGAACTCCATCACTTGTTTGGCGAGTTGTGAGCATTTCTCAAAGTTGATATGATTGTTTGGCAAACTGCAAGCGAAATGAGAGAGAATAAATAATTCGATTTCTCTTGTTGTCTAGTTAGCTAAGCAAATTACCGATTCGAGCAGCCTTCGTTCAAAAAGTATAAATCCTTAACAAATAAACTAAAAAATGGAATGATTATGCGTTCGCGTTCCTCTGTGGCGCCCTCGGAGCGCCACATTGCAGCTTTAAGCGTCGAGCGATAACTGTTGAAATTCGATGTTGGATCCATTTGATGTTCCAGCACGGAGAATTTTGCCGATTGCACTTTAGACCACTGCAAGAGGAGAAAACGAGTTAGACAATTGCCGTATGCAGTTTGCAATTCTTCAGGAACTTGCCGTCTTTTTAAGTCGGCCAATGGGCGCGAGATTTAGGCCAGCTATAATGGCCATCAGACTGTTGAAGTTGCCAATGTTGAAGCACTCACGTGCCGTCTCAATCCAGTATTCGATAATACGCACGCGCTGCTTCTTCTTTGGATACTGTGAAAGTAAAGGAATAAACATTATAAATAGGCTAAAAAACATAAAGAAAAACTGGCTATAATCTAAATGAAAATCGCATAGAAGGGCTGTTCATTCTATATTTAAATATCTCATATCTAAGCCGATTCTAATTCATCCTAATTCATTTAGATATATATTTTTTTTGACAATTCCAACATCTTAGCTGTTTAGGAAGAAATCCTTATTGATTTTCACATATTTCTTTCTTTTACTATTTCTTTTTTAGCCTTTTTGCAATTGAATTTCATTTTTATGGCTTTGCGCTGGGTAAACATAATTCCATACGTTTATGGCCGGGCATCATTTTCATTTACATTTTCATCCCCTGCCAGCAGCGCATCCAATCATTTTAAGCACTCCCTAATCTCCCCCAACCCCACCCAGTAACCACTGGCCACCCACTCCACCCACCTTAACAATTTCGCTGGCCGTCAAATAGCTGAGGCGATTGAACCATTGAACATACGATTCCAAATTGCGTGTCTTCTTCATATCATTCAATGAGGAGCTGCCCGCCGTCGCATCATTTGAGGCTGTGATTGTGTTGCCTATGCCCATGCCAGTGCCCGCGGCCTTGGCTTGCTGCTGCTGATAATCCTTGGCAAAGGCCTGTACAAACTCCTCGGGTCCAATGTGCGACAGACGCTCCAACTCGATGGCCGTTAGCTGATGCGCCAAATGCTCACAGCTGGGACACAAGTCCATGATGCCGAACACCTCGTCGGGCTGCGGAGTGCTCGAGGCGGAGTTGCTGCCGCTGTTAGTCGAGTTGCCGCTGCTGCTGGCCGAGCCGCCGCCGCCGCTGCCGCCTCCGCTCGTCGATAAACCGTTAGTGGTGTGGCCACTGCCCGATGATGATGTATGGGAGCTGCCTAGAAACGTTTGAAACGGATTGTGCAAATGTAGATGATGCTGATGATGATGATGATGCAGCTGATGCTGATGGTGCATCTGTTGTTGTGACTGCTGCTGTTGGTGCTGGTGCGACTGTTGTTCGATGGCCTCGTTGTTGAGCAGCTGCAGAAATTCCTCGTACTGCTCCAGATCCTTGAGCCGCGCCACGAGCAGCTGCAGGATGCGCGACACCTGCTTGCCCAGCGAGTTGTCAATGTAGACGCATTTTCTGGCCAAGATGCGCACCTGCTGCATCAGGCGCTCATCCCGAAAGTCATACGGAAAGATCTCAATCCATTCGGAGAGCAAGCGTATGCAATGCTGTGCCGATCGCTGTGTCAAAGTTCGCTGCTGCGGCTTTGGCTCTAGCTCCAGCTCCTGGACCTGGCCCTGTCCCTGTCCCTGCCCCTGTCCAGCCGCTGCTCCAGCTGCGGCCGATCCTTTGCGCTGTGTCAGCGGCGAGGCAGAGTTCAAGTGCAGCGGCAACGACGGCGGCTGGGCAACAGCCTCGTCGACCACATCGCCCGCCGGCTGCTGCTGCAGCTCCCAGTTGCTGGAGATCTGGGCGAGCAGCTCGTACGGCCGAATGAACAGGCGTCCGCTCAACAGAAATGCAAACAGAAAATTGTGCTCCGGATAGTAGTCGTGCGTGGGCACCATGTGCAGGATGAGCGACTGCAGTGTGCCGGAGTGCAGCTTGCCCTCGCAGTAGACCAGATGCCCCTCCTTCGGCTCCTTGCTGAGGGCCACGGGTTTGCTCTGCTGCGGCGGGCCATAGCTGAGCGGCCGCTCCGGCAGCTGCGATTTCTCCACGTGCGAACTGTCCCGACGGTGGGTGGCCAAGGTTTTGGCCACAATGCCAATGCCGCTGCCGGCGCTGCTGTTGCTCCGCTGTGTCTTCAGGTCCGGCAAAGTCTTGTGTGTCGTTGTCGTCGTTGTTGCTGTTGCAATTGTTGTTCCCGTTTTGGGCTTGAGATTGAGATTGATGTTGGCGCTGCCAGTGCTGCCACTGCGGCCATTTGTGGCACTATTGATGCCGCCGTTGCTCGACGACGACATTTGAATCCCGACGCTGTCTGCCTCTCGGTCTCTGCTTCCACTGCTGACTGCCAGGCGACTCTCCTATGCATGCGCCGCCTTCGCTGGCAGCGTCAAGAGCTGTGTGAATAAAGAATGCAGAATTAGCTATTATTCCAATAAGAACGAGTAAATAGTTGGCCTCAGTTCCAATAGGAAAAAGGGACATTGTGTAGGAATCCATAGAAAGGAATAGAAAACAAAATGACAGCAAATTGGAATTGGAATTGGCAATGGGCAAATGACAAACGGCAAACGAATACCTGAACAGTTAATAGTCCTTAGCAATTAGCCAACTGTCAAAGCGCAAGGCCAGGCCAGGTGCAAAAGGTGTGGAATGTAATTTAAACCCTTTTCACTAATCTGCTTCTTCCACATGCCACATTCTTTAATTCACTGCTATTTTAAATGATCTAAAGCCGTTGAAGAAATAATTCATTGCTTACAGGCTTTAATACAATATAGTTTAATATAATTAAAAGCAAATCACATGACATATGGCAGATGTTTCTTATAATTTAAATCTGTTTTTTAGCTTTTACAGAATCATGACATGCATATAATATTATTTTTAAAAGTGCTTAGGCTTTAATGGACTTCGATTTGCTTAAAAGCTTTTATATTATACATTCTAAGTAAACTCGAGTTTAAGCTAAATAGGTCAAAAGCTACGCTAGTAACATATGATGATTCAGAGCTTACAAGTGCTTTAGCTTTTACTGAATCATGGTTTTTATACCAGCTATATATGATATATATTTATATTATGTTATACATATACATATATA